ATTTTTGTGGTTTTTATGCATTATTTTTATCGTATGGGGCCTCTTAAACTGGACATAGTTTAGGGCCTCAGCATGTCATAATCTGGCACTAAGCAGTTGCTATCTTGTAGCTCAGACATCTCTACAAGGAATGTCTCTAGATACTATTCCTATTGCCCCATTGTGCCCAAACAGCATATATTCAGTTCCTGGCCATTTCATAACCAGATTGAAAGGTCACCACAGAACTCTCCCAGCCGAAGAATGACCAAATACCCTGGTATAGTCCAGGGCACTAAAGGGAATCTTCAGTGTTTGCAGTAATTGGATTTTAGAACCTCCTATGACTGCTTCCTTCTGAAAACCCTGATGCAGAGGGAGCCTGAATGCCAGGGCAGGGTATCCAGACAGGTAGTTGAATTATGAAGTACAGCCCAGCCTCAGCTATGAAAAGTATTCAGTTACCAGAGTGACCAGAGACAATGCATAACTTCCCTTCTGCATGCTCCAGCACCTGCAAGCTGCACGCCCCAGCACCTCCTTTGACAATCATAGTACATGTGCCCAAGCCTACACAGAGTCAATGATCAGCTGGGATTAGAATTCAGTGGCTCCTGTGACAGACTGTGCCCCCTGCCCTCTCTCCTCGTCCGCCCAGCCCTTGGAGCCCTCTCCACTGGGCTAAAGGGACTACTATTATACCATAACTGTGCTTCTGTAGCACAGGCAGAGTATAGGGCTGCCATAACAAATTCCATGCTATACTCACAAAAATCCCAGTACAGGGAGTATGTCATGGTAGGGTGAGGATAGGGAGGTCAGAGATAAATTCACAGTGTATGATGCTATAGGCATGCTGGATTATACCATAGACTGTAGGCAGCTTGAAACATGCTGCCATATGTTATAGCGGATAGTGACAGCTCTAACTTGTGCCACGGCCATGTCAGCCTCTGGAGAACCTAGAATCAAGAGAAGGCAAATGCACCATAAGCTTCCCAGAGGTGCAGCATAGAACAGGAAACCCAGTGTTCGTACCACATCTCAACCACATCCCTATCCCATTGTCAATACTGATATAGAACAAACAGATATTCATTGCTCCCCTTACCCACACTATCTCTGCTTGCCAAAAGTCTTCATTTGTATTCTATGCTGTATTCACTGTTATTATACCACTAAATTAGTTGCTGATTGCAGTCTCTATTATCAATTTCATATTTGACATGTTACATTGTCTGTCTGGAGCCCATGTCTTGTGCTGGCTCAGATGTGGACTAGGTAATCTAATACTTATTTTTTCATCTTTGACTTCTGTGATTTATATCTGGCAATTTTGGTCTGTCCAGGGACACATCAGGGCAATTCAGCCCTGGGGGTAAATCCACTGGGCCAAGTTCTCTTCCAAGTTCCTCTTCTCAGACTGCTCTGGCTCCAGTAGAGTGGCACAGATGTAAACTGATAGCACCATCTGGCACACGCCCCTTAGGGTTTTAGTCTGGGGCTCTGGTCTTCCATTTCCTAAACTTCTCTTGCTTCAACACTCTAGCAACATAAGACAATCCAAGAGTCAAAGTTCAGGTTTAACCAGGTTTTCTCTAACCTATTTTGGCCTAATTCTGATTTCACTTACTTTGAAAAAACCATAGGTAAGTCTCTTGCAATAATGGAATTATACCAGTAGTGTACATGATGTTGAACTTAGGCCAAGTACAGTAGATTTGACGAATCAATAGAGTGTTGATTATTTCCTTTTCAAATGCCCTTCCTAAGTCTGCTTAGCATCTGCTTTACAATCTATGATTTCTCAGCTTTGTTGACTGTTTCCCAGCCTTATCGGAATACGATATATGATAAGGAACATAAGAAAAATCAGCTGCTCACTACAGTAGTTCAAGGACACAACTTCCATACCTGCCAGATGTGAGTCTCTACATTTCTGCAACATAGGTGAAGATGTGGTATTAATGATCTTCTATACACCATCATTTCCCATGTAAAGGAAAAGAAACCAGTCTTAAATATTTACAGAACACATTCCTAATACCTACTCAAGTGACCTTACTCAACTGGCAAAATCCTGTAATTGTTTTCCCTGATTTTATTTGTCTCTGTGTCAACCTAAAAAGATTTTCTAGACCCATAGAGCAAGGACCATCCCTTCTTGTATGTCTCTCTGCTATGAGAGTAACAAAGGTTACTGTTTCGTTTTTTTATTTTCATTATAGACTTTTACATGAGATCATAAGCTGGTAGTAAATAACTTTACCTCTAAGTGCCCATGGAGCCCCCAGGTATGCTAAGGCTTCAGTGTGCTTCTGAAAGTCACACTCCCAACATTACTGCCCACTTGTTTGCTGAAGAAGATACAGTATCTGGTTTTACACTCTGTGTTAAACTAAAATTAAAGCAGAAGAAGAGAATGTATTCCCGAAGAAAAAAGTCCCTAGCTAGAGGAAGAGACAATTTGGCTCCTGAATCAGGACTGATTCTTTCATGTGCCAGCCAAGCAAATCAGTGAAGTCACAGTCCTAAAAAATAGTCTTGATTTTTATATGCCCATCTTAAGATCTCTCAGACCTGATTTTTCAGAATTGTTAAGCACACACAACTTTTAAAAAAGTCCACTGGCATTATAGCTTTTCTGGGTCTGTTAAAACAATATGAAACAAGCACAGATTGTCCTAAGGCCCAGAACATGAGATGCCCAAACACAGAGGCTATTTTTAAATCATCGTCTTTCAACAAGGAACCCCAAATTTTGTTGAATTGAAATTACTGGGACTTTTGGTCATTGCATTCTATCGGAACACAACTGGGTCCTAATAAATTTATGCAAGAAAAACATTTTTTTATGCTTGGGATAGTTACTAGAAAGAGTACCAAATGCCCTGCTGTTCTCCATTGTGTATAGCATCCTTCCCTGCTTTCTCCAAGTTTTGTCCTTTCCTAAAAATATTTCCTAAATTTCCAAACACAAGAAAGTGGCATAACTGCTTTGGAGTTGACAGTAGATTCCCTTCTGGCCAAGAAAAAGGCATAAATAAAGTGCCCTAATATCTCTACAGCCCTAGAATATGAGTAATTCCTCTAGACTCACATATGGAGAACCCCATCTATGTGAAGAAGCAGACTCTTACATGTTTGCAGCCCCATCCCCTCCACTGCATACGGCACACTGCAGCTCCTCAAGGATCTGCCATGGCTAGACCTGGGCCCTTTCCTGAGACAAACTATCCCTACATCCTGTCTGTACACTGTGGTGGGAGATCTTTGTGAGGGTTTTCTTTAAGAAGTGATGATTAGTGCCAATGACCCCAAATCATTGCTACTCAGGACCCAGACAGGATAATCAAATCCTGGGGAAGAAGTTGCATTAGGTAATTACTGCAGCAGAGCTAGCCAGGAGAGCAGAAACCGCCTGGCCAGAGTGGTGATAAGTATCTCCAACGCCTGTTCCCCACAGGAACAGACAAAGAAGCCAAGGCTCTCCCATAGCTTGGCTGCCAGAACACAGGGAATCCACAGCATTGCAAGATAGGTGGGGGTCCAAACGATTTCCTTTGCGATCTCTGGACCCTATTGAATTCAGAGGTGGCCTGTGCAGAGGGGATGTTTATGGGTCTGTGTTTTCTGTGCACTGCCCCTTGACCTATGAGAAACCTCCCTGTGGAGCTCTGGAGACAATGCATGAACCAAACCAAGACAGCAGGTGCAAAGTAAGTACCATGCCATGCTCTTGCTGCCCTTTATTCTTTCTTTGTTGCTTTCCTTAATCTCGTTAAGAAACTGGCAGGGCCGACCCATCCTATCCTGCAGAACCTGCGGCCACAGGGGGCTGTGCAGCCAAAGGGCCCCCTGCGGCCATGAACGCTTCAAATCAGTGCCGTAGCAAGGGGGGGCAGGCAGTTCCCCCCACTCCGTGTTGCCACCACCACCGGCATCTCCACATCCAGCCACTCACCACCCGCTCGCCAGCTTCTTCATCTGCTCGCCACCTCCCCTCCCCCCCGCTGCCAGCTTCTTTACATCAGGGGCCCCAAAACTATATCTTGCAGGGGGCCCCAAACATTTTTGGGCCAGCCCTGGAAACCGGACAGACTAAAAAGTCCATCATTTGCCTTTTGCTCAAAGAAAGCTGGCAGGTCTTGCCTCCTGCCTGCTCTGCAGGGCTTCAGGCATCTCCCTCTATTGTTGTGGCTTGGTTTGTGGGAGCACCACCAAGCCGTCATCGTGAACCAGCCACCATTGCTCTAAGCACTGTACCCAATTCAAGACAAAAACCCCTGCCCCAAGGACCTTACAGTTTAAGCGTCAGGCAGGGAAAAAACTAGATAGATGGATGATAGACGGCAGTATAGCCAAGATTCATCCAAACTGACCTAATTTCTGTTGCTAATACATTCCCTTCCTGCTGGTGTATTCACTGCAGGGCAGGATTAGATTATTAACTTGTACACTCTGACAAGCCTGGCTTTCTTCTCACCCTCATAGCCTATATTAGCCTAGAAGAGATTTTTCCCCTAGCATTTGATGGCAAGTGTTTCTACAGACATCTGAAGTGCTGGAGACATCAGCCCTGGGAATAATGTGTAAAGCCCCAGCAACACCCAGTTAGGATATGGTGCCTTGGAAGGATTGATTTCGCACACAAACGGAGCCCATCTTTCTCTTTGGGCTGCTGCAGAGCATCCAGAGCCCTCCAGGCAACCACAGAGACCTCATTCACATCCAAAGTAGCCACAAGGTGGTGCTCCCTACCCTTTGTGGAAGCATTTTTAACACAGCTGGTAAATATAAACTAGCCTTGTGCAGGGATGCAGATGGCCTAGTGGCTGGGAGCCAAGCTGGGTGAACGTTTCTCTAGGCTGCATCTCCTTAGTCAAATATTTTCTAAATCAAATTTTAAAAATCACCAAGGTTTACAGGGTTCATATCTTAGCTGCTCTTACTAAGCCTAACAGAGTAACAGAGGCTGACACAGAAAATAATCGGAGGGGGCAAACAGCATTTCACACAGAAGTAAAGTCTAAAAGAGCCTGTGGTTTGACCCTCCATAATATGTACAGATCTGCCATGTTGATGCTGTTCTTACCAGCTGCAGAGCTCAGATGATGGCAGCAAAGACGGGGCGGGGGCTGTTCTGAGGTGCAGTCTGAGATAACGAGACCTTGCTCAACGCTTCCCTTGCTCATTTTATTTCTATATTCAGAACCATTCCCCAACCTTTTCCTCCCCTTATTTTTCATTCATTTCTCTTAAGTTGCTATTATTTCTCCCGCAGTACAGCTGTCCGGAAATCATGGAGAGCAGGGCCGAGAGGTGGGGTCTGAAACGTCTCATTTCCCAAGGATTCTCCCTGAACCATTTCTGCTAATGTCTGATCTAACTGTCTGAATGTCATCCCCAACTGTATCTCATCACTCTGTTGTCTGTTTTACTTTCTGTGAGTGAGCATCAGCTATTGACTTTACCACCTCTGCAATGGAAAGTGGATCTACCCCTCAAGTAAGAGAACTACTAGTTTCTAAGACATATAATTATGCAGTGTATTAGTCTGTCTGGAGCCTCATCATTAGCTAAAATACAACACCATTTTAGGGGACAAATGGATAGAGTCTCTATCTGAAAAGGCTCAGTTGTGCCACAGAGGCAATGCACTGGCAGGGAAAGCAGAGCCATCCTGTACTATGCAATTCAGGGGAGGGATGGTCTGCTTTTTATCGTAACATGAAGTACAGGCATCTTTTTGATGGACCAAGATTTCACATCAGTCTCTCCAGGGAAGGCCAGATAACTAATCACCGCTGATCTTGGTGAAGAGCTCTCCCTATTTTTTCCTCAGTTTTAGACCATTCTTGCTTGAAAAGACTTCCATCAGCTTTATCAGGCATTAGATCAGGCTCCACAATATATTGGGATCATGCTCTCCATTGAGGTCTTTCTCCCCTACAGAATGAGCCACGCCCTGGTGGCTTTACTTACATCACTTCCCATTGAAGTCAGCGGCACTACTGGCATGTACATTAGCTGACTGGGATTAGGTCTTTGTAGTTATTTATAATACATCTCATCTACAATCACATGGTCCACATCATCTTATGATTTAGCTCACTCCTCCTCTATACCACATTGATATTGGCATCAGCAGCACATTTGAAGCCTGCTCCTACTCCCACTGCATGTTTGCTACAATAGCATTTCAGTCATGTGTCTTTGGGTAATGCCAGCTAAATCAAAATTATATGTATGCATAAGAACTTCTGCTTATTTTGCATGTATGTAGCATTAATGCAGATAGATCAGAAATGCTCTGCCTCCTTTAATCCTTAAAGCCTTGTCATATTTTGATCAACTGCATTATTCCTATTATGATGCTAGGGTAGGTCCTTAGCAATGCCTTCTTTTCCATTCTACTCCAGGGTTATGGAACTTCTGCATGAAGCAAATCCTACCTATTCTAAGGCCACAGGGGACCATGACATAATTTAACCTATGAACTTGTACCACTAGGTGGTGGAAGGACCAAGCCTAAGTACAGACAGTCAAAAAGCCCAAGGCTGAGTTGATTCAGTCTTTGCAGGTTAATCTAAGCTGCAAAGATTGAACCAATAAGCAAATGAACAGACATTCACTTGTGATTCAGGAAATGCAGCCACATGCCTGCAGTGGCTCAAGCCAGAAGCTGGGGGACACTAGAGCACAGCTCTCTGGCACACAGCCACTATGGGCTGTGTGTTCACTTCCTCTTTCTGCTGCCCCCAAGGTGTTTGGGATTTGCAGTCCACAATCACAGCAGCAGGAGTCCCCAGGATTGTTCATCGCTTCTTTTTCCTGCTTCCAGGAACCTCTAGGATTTCTAGTCCACAGTCACAGCCAGCACTAAATAAGCCAGCAAGGTAGGGCAGCTCTGTACTTGAGGGAAGGTGAGTTTAACCCCTGTCCCTGACCCTAGACCCCAGCTGGGGTTTGCCCAGGGGCAGTGAACCGGCCAGTGAGCCAACCCTCACTGCTTCAGCTAGGGAGCAGAGGGATGGGTCCAGTTGTGCTCTCTGGAGCAGACAGCACAGCCCAGCCCAGCCCAGCCCAGCCCAGGGCTTAAAAGCATGCTGGGAGACTGATTTTGGACAGAAGTTTCATAAACCGGTTTGACCCAAATCAGTTAAGTCTGATGCTACATTGGACCAGGTTTATCTGAAACCAGTTTCAGCCATTTTGAAACTGGTTTATGTTCACTGAACTTCTGTTCTGTTACAGGTTTAAATCAGTTTCTGATCACTTAAACCAGTTTATGTGTATCATCTGTCCCTAGCCCAGCAGTCCCCACACTGTGCTTAGCACCCATTGTAGAGCCCAGTGCTATGCTTACTGCCCAGCAAATACACATGCAGTGAGACAGGTTTTGACACTGGGCTTAGACTGGCTTACTATGCAAGTCCATTGCTATTGTTGTCCACAAAATAAGCCTGCAAGAGCAGCACAGAAAATGGCAGCCTTAGAACTGCAAAGGAGCCATGGAGTGGTTTCACTGGCATTGTGTGGATGAGTGTTCTTATTGGATTGGATGAACTACCCAAGTAAGGGCCAGTGGTGACATGCACCTCCTGACAGCAGCGGTCCCCACTTAGACGATGAGCAGGGTGGGCAGGCAAGAGTGCCAGCTGGGGAGTGGGGGCACTAGGAGAAGCAATCCCCATGGTCCCCCCATGGCCGATCGCACCTATTGTGGGGGGGGTTCCCCTGCAGCTGATCGCACTGGCACTCCTGCATCAGTGTGATTAGCCACAGGGGGCCCCCCCCCCGGGTCGCTGACTGCCCTCTGGGGGGCAAGTGCCCCCCCCCCCCGACTCAGGAGGCACCAGTCACCCATGGTAAGGACTGTCATCATTTTTTTCTTAAGTGCCTTTTCGTGGAATATGATTTGTTCCAAGCCTTTCACTTTCCTAATTGTCAATGGGACTGCAGTGAGATGCACATTAGAAACTCAAGCTATGGCAAACAAAATTCTACAAAATTACAGACCAAAGTGAAGGCCCATCCCCCAGCCACTGGACAAGATGGTGAGTTACGCTGACCTCTTCTGAAAATACAGATGGTAATGTGAGAACAAGACATCTTTTGGCACACCAGAGATTACTATCTTGGGTGTGAGACAAGGTTTTGGGAGACCTGAGATGTAACCCGAATTCTGAAACTGATTTACTGACAAATGTACTGTGCTGGATCATCTCTACTTCACCCATAGCTTTTCCTCAGCCAGCATTTAGACAGTGAACTGAGGTCACGTAAGTAGACGGATAGAAGTCAGTGGAGATCCAGGGTTAACGTAGCCTAATGTCAGCATGTGGCTTGTTAGCTTCAGTAAGCTAGGGATCTTATGTCTGCATTAAAGAATGATTCATTTGAAAAGAATGTGAGTATCAAAATGCACACAGATCTCCAGCTACTCATAACTTGTAGTGGACTATCTGTTTCTTGCTGATACAAATTTCCACACGCTAGGGGAAAGTGCCTCTTTCATGCATCACTTTGCACTGGATTGTGTCCAGTTACTTTACTTACCATTATGCAACTTAACCCAAGGCAACCCAACACCCAAAGACAAAATTAGAATTGCATAAATATATTTGCACAGTTTCTTCACTGTCCATAACAATATTCATTTGACTTTCCAACCCAAGATGAACTGTAGGGCACCAATTAAATTACTGACGATGATTAACAATGTTTATTTTTTATGAATTAATCCTAAACACTCTGATAACTGCTAGTCTCAATTACTGACTTAGATGGAAGCACTACGGTTCAATATATAACATGTATCATCATTGAAAATTAATATATTCTGAGGTCAGAGATCAGTCTTTACTCATACAAAATCCCAACGAGAGAGCTTTGCCTCAGTGAGGAATTATTAATGCTGTAGAATTCACTAATATTAATATAGCACCATATTCTCTCCTTAATAGTAATTATGCTTGAATTAAAACAAGAATTTTGCCTAGCCTTACCAATTATACACCACTTTTCATTTCTAGCACTCTCTAATGTTAACTGACAACTACTTATAATATCATTTCATTACCCCCAGTTTATGTTTTGGGAAAGAGAAGTTGAGAAACACTTTCTCACACTGAACAGACCCCCAGTCTATGAGTAGAACTATTTGCTTTATTGGAACTATTTGTAGAGCAAGACTCAACATGAGTGAGGATGGTCACAATCTATCCCTTAAGCTCTTAGGCCTACCACTGTCTTATACATGTGTACAGCACCTAGCACAATATGGCCCCAATCTCAGATTGGGACCTTTAGGTCCCTGTCCTACTTTCACAATACAAATAGTAAGTAACAATTATCCAGAGCACAAAGAGGTTCAGGAACAGATTCAGAATTAGAACTCATGATCTCCTGTCCTACTTTTTGTGTATGCTTTTTCATAAGTATAAATTATTTGATCATATTAACTTTATTGGATAAAATTCATTTAACTGTTCTAAGGACAAGGGTAACAGAACTCAGCACCCAGTGCGTATGCTATACTACACATTTACTATATGTCATTTTCTGTACATATATGCAGTTACATATCTACTATGCATTTTAACTAATAACAATACTTAGATGACTAGTATCATGGGAGCTGAGTATCAGGAGTAATTTATGGATCCTAATAGCAATACACTGTTTAATTTTAAACTAAAATAGTGGAGAAATAGGAAAGGGTTCACCTTATACTCATAATCAGCAGCTTTCTGTTCTTGGATCCAGTTTAAGTGGATGCATAATGCTCATTATATCATATTTTAATAGAAAACATATCTTTCAAGGACAGTAGGCCAGATTCTGTTGGCACTGAAGTCAATGGGAATTTTGCCACCGACTTCAATGGAAACAGGAAGAGTAAAGTAGACATTTGTAAATGTCATATGTTTGTGCCTATAATTCATAAATGTTTGCCCTGCTTGGAAGACTAAATCCTGCTGCAGCCAGTGTTCCCTGTAAGAAGCAAAGGAATTTCCCTGGCTCGGGTCTGGGGACAGTGTGGAGACTGTGTACTGTTTTCATGCCATATGGGAAGATCATTTCACTCTGCAGTCTCATCTCTCCTATGGCCAATACAGAAGTGACAGCATTGGGCTCTGAAGGAGTTGTGTTCAGCCTTCCTCACCCAAAGTGATATGCCACATAAATCTGGAGGTAAAGGAGTAAAGAGGGAAGAATGGTGGTGTAGAAGATCTCAGATGGGCTATGGGAATGCCCAGAAGTAAGATGCAATATGATTTTAATTGGTTTCATTTACACCACAAAGCTATGTCTGGTAAAATGGAGCAATTAATCTCAGCGATAAATAGCTGATTATAATCAGTTTCTATAAAAGAACAGAGTTCTAGCTACTCTTGCCCTATGAAAAGATAAACACCAAAAGCCCTAATGAAAGATCTGACACTGCTAAAAGACGCCCGCTGACCTGACCTGCATTTCAGTGTAGAAGGAGAAAATCCTTTC